GCGCGCGTGCGTGTGTGCGTGTGTGTGTGTGTGTGTGTGTGTGTGGATGTGGTGCATGTTGCCCAACCACTGGGCAGGTCTTCAGACGACCTCATCCTGGATTGTGAGGACCACCTAAACAGAGCCTCCTTTAGTTGAAATTTGCTGAAAACCTCAGGAGGAGCCTCTGTAATTGGGCAGCACCCCCTGCCCCCACCCCACACCACCACCTCCCCTTTAGATTAAGACACAAACATTTGAAGACAGAAAAAAAAACCCCACTGTGGCTCATTTCCCCGCAGCACTCCCTCTTTATCTCATCTATGTAATTAAAATAAATAATAATGTGTAGGGTGGTCTGTGTGTAGGAGGTGTTCTTTACCTGAGCATCATCCAGCGATCCGACACATGGATGCAGGCAGGGGTGGGGGGTGGAGGGGAGGAGAGGAGGTGGTCGGGAATATTCCAGCCAGCACAATAYAAAAGTCCGAAATTAGGCAGAGATGAATGCGTCAGATGAGCGCGCGACCTCTGTCTGTCTCCAGTGGAAGGAAGGAGGAGGAGGAGGTGTCGGAGGAAGAGGACTGTGTTCTTATCAGGCTGCTGTCGACGGGAGCAGGCAGGGAAGCCCGGAGCTCCTCTCTCTGTGTGCAGACAAAGATGCTCTCTCTCCTCCGCCGCACTGAGGGCAGCAGCAGCAGCAGCAAAGCCGTCATCCCCCCCTCCTCCTCCTCTTCCTCAGTCCTCCTCCTCCTCCCGACACTTGATGGTAATAGTTTAGTAGGTAGCTTATATGGGGGTTGAGGGTGCGGTCAGCTGCTGTTGACCAATCCTGCTCCCCCCCATCAAACCTGTATCAGAGCTGACACGGAGAGGATTAAACTGTGCTTGAACCACAGCAGGTGTGTTTTAATGCGCCAGCCTTAGGTGTGACAAGACAAGGTGTGTGTGTGTGTGTGTGTGGGGTGGGTAGTTCAGTCCTTCTTCAACCTCTCATGCTGCTCAAGTGTCCTTCAGCAAGTCAGACTGTTACACTTTTCATGATGCCGAGTTGAAAATCCCACAGAAAACACTGTTAATTAGTTTTTTTTCTTCCTCAAACTGGATATGCCAATAAATGCTAAAAGTAAATTGGCTCACAGTTAAAGGAACAGTTGGGTCATTTTTTGAGGGGATGTTCTCATACAAGTTGAAGACTGTCCATAAATTACATGGATTTTCCACCATTTTGCAAAAAAAGTTGTCTTAGGTAGATTATTACTTTTTAGTAAGATCTTATAGTGTTGGAAAGATCATTTTACTTTCAAACAGTGCCACATTTGTAAGAAACAAGTGGGATGAGTAGTAGAGCTGAGTATGGGGGTTGCACACATGAAGTTATCCAAATCGTCTCTGCCAGACAATTTACTTTGCTGTTGACACTTGTTTTGAGCTACTGGTACKCCTGGTAAYCCCGAACCAATCCCATGGCCACCACTAAAATGTTGACCATCCAGCAGTACAATGCTGAAYATGAGAGGTAAAATGACAGAGGACATTAAACTAATGGTAGCAGTGAACCAATCAATGGGTAAAAGTAGTCAAATCGAGTCCAACAGCGTGAGTCAGCTAGAACACAGGTCTCTGAGTTTCAAGAATCAGGCTGGTATACTATAATAATACAGTGCAGGAAATTAGAATTTACAAATAAAGAAGTCTAAACATACATTCTTGGAGGGTAGGTTCTGATCATTTTAAGAATTAATGACAAAAATGTGCTTTTTGGCTGAGCTTATTTCTTCAGCTGTTTATGGTGGGAGTAACTAAAAACATCACACTTGATGTAGCACCTACCAAGATGGCCYCCTTTTTAAACTTCTGCCTCTCCATTTTAATTACATTTTGATGAAGCCTTAGAAGCCACTTATTTAAAGCTCTAATGTATTTATTCTTTACAAAATAACCTTCATTCTACATTACTTTTACTCTAAACTTACATTTGAAATAGTTTCTCTTCTACGTGTTTATCATGGAACACCACACACTCCAGCCTCATTCAGCTTGTCTAATTAGGAATTCCACTGGAAAACCCATGACTCCTGGGGAATGCATGGGTGGGAAGTGTGTGTGTGTGTGTGTGTATGTGTGTGTGTGTGTGTGTGTGTGTCACATTTAAAGCATTTGAGGGCGTGCAGTGGGTGAGTTGGTCTTGTAGACCAATTTTTTAAGATTCCCACAAAGGCAGCTAAAACGTGTCAGCTTCTCTTAGGTCGACCCCACTGGGAGTTCAAGCAAAGTAGCATTTAAAGCATGAATCTGCTTCTGGTTGTGCATTAAAAGGATATGAAACAGAGTCATTTGGAAAWATAAAATTCAACAGTGTTGCCTTCCATATGTGCTGCAAGTAAATATTATTTATAGTAGCCTACATTTTATGCGRATAAGCACATTTAGCATTTGTGTAGGTGTGTCAATCTCAGAGCAAAACAAGAAATGAAGCACAAAATAAAAAAAGTATTTAAAAACAGAAAACACAAAACCTGATATAAGAAGATGCTGTGAAACATAAATGATATAAGATCAACAGCAGTGAAAATCTCACTCCCTGTGCATAGAATGAAATATCAACCCTGACCATCCTCTTCATCAGACTGTCATAGAAAGACAAAGTGTCTTCAGTCGGAGGCTTCTTCAACTTCACTGTAATACAGACCGCTACAGAAGACCTTTRCTGCCCACAGCCATCAGCATCTACAATACGTTTTTAGTTAAATGAGTTACAGCAACACCTAATTTCCCTCTGGGATCAATAAAGTATTTTTGAATTGAATTGAATTGAATACTGTATGTTTTGTTTTGTTTTTTCTTTTTTGCATGTTGGAGTAAATGTAGCAGGTAGAGGTAAATCTGCAATGCACCACTGAACAAGTTCTGTCAGCACTGAAATAACTCTAGAATATATCAACATACAGGAGACTAATCCTGGAAAGAAGATTTTATGTTGAGTTTTTGCTAAAAGCAATAGAATGCCATTGATCTTAGACTCACCTAAACTTTTGTATAAACAAAATTTGGAAAGACAAAATTAGCTGACTTCACCTTTTTGAAGTGAAGGTAAAAACACATGTGCAATAAACATATTGAAATTAAACTTTTTGCATGCCAACCATTTTAAGAAAAGTGTTGAGTAATCTGCAGGCACAACGCTCAGCTACAACCTCACCAAGTTTTAGCTCAATATCTTTCAAAAGGGCTGAGTTAATGCCTTTTTTTAGATTTGTTGAAGTCTATTAGTGGTGGCAGCCATTTTGAATCATTTCCATCCAATGGTTCAAGACATATTTTGCTAACAGACAAATTAACYCARATGCTCACAATTATATGATTGCCCGACTGTCATGGCATCGAGCAACTAATATTCAACTTATCAGTGACTCATCCAAACAAACTTCTTAAAAATCCATCCATCGTTGTTTGCTTGTTCAGGAGTCAGATCTTAGGGARAAACTGGATCAGGAAGGTCCAGATCTCTCTCTCGCCACATTTTTCAGCACTTCTTGGATGATTCCAAAGAGTTCCCAGTTCKGACGGGAGAGTTCCTCCTTTGTGTCCTGGGTCTTCTAGTTGGACATGCCTGCAGCACCTCCCTAGTGAGGCATCCAGGAGGCATTCTTACCAGATGCCTGATTCACCTCCACTGGCTCCTCTCGATGTGGTGGAGCAGCTCRACTCTGAGTCTTTCCAAGATAACTGAACTTCTCACCCCGTCTCTGAGGAAGAGTCCAGCTACCCTGCAGAGAAAACTTGTTTTGACCGCCTGTATCCATGATCTCACTCTTTCCTTCTTTGAAAATAAATAAATAAAAGACTCTGAAAGTTCAAATGTTTCTCCTGCCTTTAAAGAAATTAAATCTGAATAAGTAAATGTCACTGAATGATTTCAAAGCTCATCATGATAAAAAGCCAACACAGATTTTTARAGTTTAATGCAGAAGCTTTAATGGAAACGACTGATGTGATTTTATTTCTACATGATTGGAAAGAGAAGTTGGACCTTACAGTTACACACTTTAGAAATACTGAATCTTTTTTGTTACATGTTTTAGAATCACAGAAACTGTTTAAAAATCTGATGTGAATGTATTACATTATGAAATAAATCCCTTTTTTAGCTTTTCTATACTGTGGAACATAATTAGAAATCATAAATGTCAGGAAACTAAGCCAGTTAAAATACAAACTGAAGTCCAAATAGAGTCTCGAAACAAAGTGCACCATTTGTTGTAGATGGTCMGTAGGTCAYGGYGCTCTGTGTGACGTGTTCTGCTSATCACAACACCCTCTGGAGGGCCCACCTGTCCTGCATGGTGCTGTTCCCAAACCAGTTTAGGATATTCCAGGTGATGGTGCTATCGATGATGCGGGTGGTAGTGTTTCTCATGCCTTTTGTCCARAAGTCCACAATCAGCTCCTTTGTTTGGTTCATGTAAATGATGGGATTGGTCAACTGGCTTGGCAAAGGGTATTTGGATTTAGAATTTCCTCAAGATAGGCCTGCTCATTCTTGTTGGCAATTAGGTCCATCACTTTGGTGMCATCTGCATAGTTGACGATGGTGGTAGAGCTGGTGCTGGCAATGCAGTTGTGTGTGCACAGAGAGAACAGGAGAGGACCATGTACACATCCTTGGGGAGCTCCAGTGCTGATGGTCAGGGACTGCGAGCTATGCTTTGAGGTCTGTATGAAATTAGGGACACCATTTTATACYAGGATCAGATTTATTTAGTTTTTTTAAGCAAAAAATGGGGATCAAAGTAAGTCCACATAAATATGGTAATTAAAATGTGTCTGGTTTACTTTGGGCTTGGGTCTCTAATCAGAGTTAATTAATTGGGTTGAAACGGGGTCAGGTCTGATTTTTTAGAGCCTCTGTTTAAATTTGTCTGATAAGGTCTCTACCATAAATGCTACCTGGGAACAACTTGAGAAACAAAATAAAGATGTAGTTACTGAACTTCCCAGATCCTGATTGTCTCTTTGTTGCTCTTAAACCCACCTGGGTCCACTACACCTGGAAAGTGTTTACAGATGTGGCAGTGAACTCTTATAAATGTGTTCTTAATCAAAACTGTTGAATTTGTCTTGTTTTTCTTTAATCATCCCATTGTTTTTCTCCTTTCTAGCTGTATTTTTGAGACCATTACAATCTTATTGAACAWCTGTGTTATTTCCACCACAAACAGTTGTGTTTGGGTTTCAGTGACCTGTCTGGGGCAATTATTGATTTCTGTTCCGGTGTAAGTCAGAGTGAAGCTCTGTGGCCTCGACATGGAAACAGGGGTGCTTATCTGCCGTGCCGAGACTTACTGCTGCAATAAAATATTGAAAGACTTATATTYTGAGAAAGCCCTCAGGACTTAAGTAAAGCTTGCATGTTATTGAGCGTCCTGTTCTGGGATTCAATTGAAGTACAAGCAGAAGGAGCACTTGGCTCACAACTTTTCTGTGGCTTGTGTGGTCAGCGGTGAGCAGTCAACAGGTAACCTGGGCGGAGTGAGATGAGAGGAACGACGGTCTCAAAACAACCTAAATCATTGTCCGTCATTACATGTGGTATACGTGATGARGTCACWCGTTCAAAWTCAAATGWAATCTATGAAAAAAAA